ATCGACGTCAAGCCCCTGGTACTGTAGCATATGTGGTTCTGCGTCCCTCCACCAAGTTGATTTAGCAAGGCATCAAAGTGCGCATCAAAGTGCGACGAGTAGGCTGAATACGCCGCTTTCGGTTCCATTTACCAACCCAGGTCAATAAATCGGTAGATGTAGCAAGTGTGCTACATCATCGCTGCAGTTGGTCTGTCCAGGTGCCTGCATATCTAGTTTCTAGCATTTTAGGTGTTCGCATGTTGATGGCTGTCCATGATAACATGTTGGCAAGGCGCCTACCTATCGAATATTGCCACCTCGATTATACTGGATGCAGGAGATTGTTGATCACTGATGGCGGAGACGAGGTGCACAGTCTTCGTGATGATACCAGGCTCCAAAAGTGGTTCCATCCAGTGTGGAACGGACAACGGTCCAGCCACCGCCCTGTGCCCGTATGGCACGCATGTTTCCCCCTGCTTAAATGAACAGATGATATGCATGTTGCAGGAGTGTGCGCCGGCTTCGAATCATTTGTGGCTCCCGTCTGTATACCTCCCAGACTCCTTCCTTCAAGTTTACGTAAATGAGAGGTGGGGTCTCCAATGGTCGCTCAATAGGCGCAGGCGTCCTGTGGCTGCCCGCAGTCTCGGTAACAGGTAAAGTCACAATCTGTGGTTGGTCAACCCACCTATCTTGGTTGCTGCGCTAATAACGATGGATGAGGGATCATTGAAATTTGGTCACGTACTGTGAAAATCACTGTCACATGCGTGAGGTCAGAAGACTTTCTTTGATCTGAAACGTTTGTATACAAGACAACAGAGATGATATTGCTACTCTATGGGAGAAAGAATCGACTCCTTCAGCCAGAAGCCTTGAAGCATCCTCAAGTCTAACTATCGTTACCTACGTATCAATGCTGACGTTGGGTGGCACCGGCGTGTGTGAAAGGATGCGCACAAGCGAGTGCTAGGCGATCATACTCAGGCTAGTTCTTTAGAGCAACAAATACTGTCGAACAAGTTGCACTGGCTTGGACAGGTGCTATTTACGCCCGGCCGCAGGTCTTCAAGGAACGCTTTGCTATGTTTACAGGACGTCGGGTGGTGCGGGAGTCGAAATGTACAAAATATGACTTGTTGGCAAAGTATGAAGTCACTGACAACCAAAATGGATCATGTTGATTCGCCTCACCTTTCAGGATGGAGTCCACGTGACCCGTCTTGTGTCTAGATCGAAACTTTACAAGATGTGGCTCAACATGGTCCCCTAGTCCGGCTCCCTGTGCATCTGGTGACGAACTATCTGTTCGTCAGGGCTGGTTATGAAATGGAACTTTGACAGCTTCAAGGAATGTGTCTCATCTAAGTTTTGCAAGAGAGACAGCTGCTTGCGGTCATGTGTTGTTGACAAGTTGTAGGCACAATGACCCTGAATTCCTTCCTAGATGATTCGGCATTTCACCCTCTCCTGACAATGCCCATTTCCCAGGTCACTCAGATTGCACGACAGTGATGTACCAGTTTAATTCGTTGCTCCACTGCTACTACCGTTGGTGATGTTCGGTGTGTATATGCTATAGTAAAAAGACGCTTTGGAAAATGTTGATACCCATGGGGATTTACAAAAAGACGCTTGGTGTGTCATCCAGTGTGGAGAAACCGTGAGATGACAGAGACAATTCACAACACATCGGGTGTACTATAATTCAGCGTAGACTGACTCAATGTGGTAAAGAGAGAATGCGCGTTAGCTCAACATACACGCACATGACTCTGTAGATAGCAAGTGATACGGGAAGTTTGATGGGATCTGAGCGTTAACGACAAAATAAACAGATCACCAACTGAGATGAAATGTTTCCTGAAAGCTAGTCACAGAAAACAGATGGAGACCAATAGAAGGATGGTTCTGATATTAATTCACGTAGGCGGAGATCATGGACCTTCAAGTAATGCATTAAAAAACAAGGAAAGTCAAGGGGAAAGCACCTATCACGGAATATAATGTTTGATTTACAAGTTGGCCCGACACCAAGTGCACTGGAGGCACGAGGCTCCAGACAGATATTCCTCGGTGCCAAATTATAAATTCCTAGAAGCCAGAGGACATGAGGAGGTGTGCATAATCAAAACGAGTGAGCTTGAAACAACTGACCATAAATGTATGCATTGTAAATAATTTAGTACAGATAAAAACAATGCTGGGTCGAATTTACATGGTTAAATAAAACGCTAATGAAAGTTGGTTCAGACTTGTGTAGACGGACAAGAATCACGCGATACAAAGATCAATGTGTCGGGTATGAGCCTATTCAAGCTATCTGGAGATCACTAGATGAGCCGAGGCATCTGTTTATCCGGTGAATGTGGCTGGTCATTACATGACGTTAGCTCTAATACGGCTCAAACCAGAGATGAGAAAATGACATGATCAGCGAGTTACAACAGCGCATTAAAAACGAAATCACTCCTGTCTGCGAAATTGCAGTTAGAGATCGAGAATGGTGTCTGTATACAGGATCCAACCATGCGTCGGTACGGTTTCCCAAAACTAAGAGAAACATACGATCTCAATATCCGTGGCTATCAGGATATTGCTTGAAATGATATTCGTGGGTGTTGTATGTTCAGCCTCGTAAAGCAACGAGCGCAACAAAGGGCGTGGGAGATTTTCTAAAGAAACCAGCTTTAAGTAATCTGACAAGCAACTGGGGGCCTATTGTTGTCATGCATGGGAGAGAGACCCAGCAACGAACATATGCGGTGAAGATGACGGATGTGGAGGTAATTGGCAAGATCCTGACAATCCGGTGCAGAGATGATTGAGTCAGATCAGCTCAAAAGTGTCGAAGCGAAACAGGCAAATGAAGGAAAAACCTGAGTGTTTGTGAGCAAAAGTGAATGAATGGGTAGATGGAACGGGGCAAAATTATCAGTGGGGATGTGTAACGGGGGCTGGGTATCAGAAATGAACCAGTGTTGGCAAGTGTCGACAAGCTAAGGTTATCCGCAAATGGAGTGGAGTAAGCCTTTGGGCAAAACACAGTGAGTGCTGAATTTCCCCAAAAAGGATTTTAGACCCGGGATTTCTGATAGAGATGGAATTACTGTAAATCGCGCAGACAGCGGGAAATCTGAGATTAAGGAACTATGGTAAAGCTAAATGTCATTCCGCAGGCACAAGGGCTGTCAGAACGATTACTGTGGAAGCCAGCATTTCGAGAAAGATGACGAAAAGATCACACAATAAACGATCTAGTCGGCTAGTTCGACAATGCATTAGCAGTTCAGCAAAGTCATTACATCGCAATGTCTAGGTCACCGAAACAGGAACGAATTCTTTGAATCAAAGTTAAATTGCAAGGACATGTACATAATGACGAAATCGACCAAGCTGATTAGGACCGAAATGAACTGGGAAGCAGCAAGCGGACATTCGCTATGTTGGTCCATCTGCGTGGAACATGAGTGACTTCACACCACGCAGAAGTGCTGTGTCAAACCAGGATCGTATTGCTCCGAGTGAGAGAGGCCGAGGATACGCCACATACACACAGCAGGGAATAATCCGACCGGGAATGAGTTAGCAAGCGAAGTATGGAGAAGGTGGGCAAAACAAAGGATGGGCGTTGAGAAAAGCAGCTGCAGTCCCTTCTGCAAAGCAGACCATACGGAAGAGGCGTGAGCGCGTAGTGTCACAAATGACGGACGTGAACTAACCTATTCGTCTAATGGAGTCTTGCAGAAAATAAAATGTGGACAAATCGGAGCCAGAGAAAGATAGTCCTAAACACGTGTGCAAATCTACCGGTGATCAGTGGCAAATTGGCTCAATACTTGATGCAGTAAGTTCTCCACAACCTTCACACGTTAATGGTGAAGCGATGCCAAGGATCGCAACCCCATGATTTGCGCTGTTTTCACACATAGATGAGTGTTTCGATAAGGGCGCAAGTATTCATAAGATCGCAAATGACAGATCGCAAATGACATGGGCATTGGGTGAACAGCAAAGCTTCTCTAGTCAAGTGCTCTAGCCAACAGTAACCAGGAACAGTATACCTGAAATGCTTAATGTGACAGTTTCCTTAAATGAATTGAAATGAGGCAAATACTGAGTAAATAATTATTCTCGTTAACTTGTAACAGTTGTGAGTATACCATATTTGGTCTTTATTCTTATCCCCTCCGTTACCGACCAGTTTGTACCATTTGTTTTAATTAACGCGTTCGCATCGTGCTAGTTTCGTTCACTGCTGCTTGCGCTTGTGTCGTCCCCGGGTCTTTCCAATATTCGATGTACTTCTTCGTATTGCTAGTCGACATCTAACAGAGGTTAACTGAAGGAAGGATTATAAAGCAAATGCGCCTGATCCTTATTTAACTGTGAGCCTTTTTGCCCAAGATTGTCTGTTGCCTCGAGACTCGAACTTTGTACCCAACGGTCCACTACAAACTCTCATCAGACTGAGATTTTACATAATAATCATTACGTGTTAGCTGTGCCGCATAACGCTGCGTATTGATTAGAATGTGTAATTACAACGAAAACGAATCAATAAATCACACGGTCACTGAAAGTAGCAAATTAAGTACAATATTAACGCAAGCAAAAAGCTAAATCCGATGAGAGTTGCTGAAAAGAATTCTTCACCCAGTAACTGCCTCACATCGATTCATACTATTAAGAGGGAATTTCGGGATCGCTGAAGATTAACATCCTCGTGATTCAATCAAGTTACACCATAATATGTACATCACTGATAGTCCCGCAGCATCGCGCATCATGTGGGAGCTAACCCATTGACTTCAATGCAATCCTCTACAGAGGAGTGTGGTGGTCAGTTCAAACCCCTGTCGATCAAGAGGCAACGATAGCGCAGTATCAAAGGAAATTATGTCCACGGCGGAACATGTGTAGTGGAAAATGTTTAATCATCCGACAGATACGAAAAATGTGATGCAAAGTCATCGTTTGAAATCTACTAGCAAGGACAAAATCACGTCATTTACCGGGTGTCGATGAGAGTGGGAGGATGCGCTACTAATGCAATGAGGGTAATCCGTGCGAGCGAACGCGGAAGAATCGGTATCCACGCCATCCAAAGGACGTGCAGCCGTGAACTCCGTCGAATTGCAGGAGTATGGAGAGCTACTAAGCAGGCCATTTCGACAATCTAAGATGGGAGTAAAAAGAACCACGTTGGGTATGAGAACGGTAATCCAAGTAAACTATGGAATGGTAACTGACAAAAAATGAAATAGCGCGCTTCAAATGAGGGGTTTCCTTGATCTGGCGACAAAATAAAGCGGGAGATTTGTCTCTGGGGGAAAATCGGATGATCATACTACTGGACGTGTAAACGAGGCAAGATAGCAAACGAATAAAAGAAGTCAGAAAGATTCAAACAAATACAAAGCGTAGGTAACATTTGGTTCAAATTTAGTCTTGAACGATACGATGAGCAAGATGGTGCTGTTCATTCTGTTCCATGCAATCAACAGTCCCTCCCGTGATGCAGCGGCCGCCATATTAGAAATGGATCCCAGTGATCACAATGGAAATTTGATTCAAATTGTGTATCGCAATACGGTTAATACTTAATGCAAAAATGAATGCCTTCATGAAGATCAACCAAAACTAGACGAATTAGCTAACACAGAAAACTTACGGGCTGAGGTGTTCAACTCCGACATTTGCGAGGAATCTTGACCAGCCTTAAAAGAACGGAAACACTCAAGCATTGATCACGATGTTACAGCCAATAAAGGATAGATGTTGAGCATTGACTACAAGTAGCTAATGCTCAAGTGTATAAAAACGCGTACACGCGTTACCGTCAAATTGGCGGTGGATTCAAGCAACACGTAACACTCCAGAATCAAATCAGAATTCAGGGCCAGAATCGTACTCCGGTGCTATTTTTACAAAGGGTTAGGGCAACAAATTGTATACTGACCTTGACAGTGTCCACCACAAATGTACAATAGTTGGGTTCTCAAATTAAAACCGGACGTCCAAACAAGACCAAATGCCGGCACGATTAACTAAAGTCCAAGCGGCTACACAGCCGAATAAGCAACTCAGTCAGATGCGATTTAAAACAAAACGATCGATAGTCCAATCAATCAAGCCGTAAAAGGTCAGCTGATAACAGTCAAGCACCGACTGAGACAAAGGAATAGTTATGGACTTGGGGCACGCATCGGTGGAATCCAACAGACTGTGATTTGTCCGTTACACTCCCCCACCAAATTCCTTCTAGGAATTTCTCATTGTTTTACTGTTCTCTAGCTGGCTTTGACGTCATTAAGGGAATAGGATGCGTCACATCCGTAATCGAGGCCATGGGTCACTTCGCGACGAATTCAAGGCCATCAGTTGGCTGCTGCTGCTGCTGCATAGCGCATTCGGCTCGTGGCTGGGGAAGAGCACAGACTGAAAAACAAAGCAACAACTGAGAGCACCAAACCTCGTTCCTAAAATTCTGTAAGACCAAAACTGAATCCATCCTTATCACCGCACCGTTTGACCAAGTAGTCACTTGGCCTCCCCTCCTCCTCTTCCATCTACACTCGGGTCGCGCAAACAACACACTTTGCGGAAGCCGGTGGACTGGTATGCGCAACACGCGATCCAGCCATCGGAGCCTGGTGCGTGAGATAGTGTTGAGCGGATCACTCGCTCTTGCTACAACAAATACACGACGCTGAACACATTCATTGTTCACGCAGTGCTCCCAACCAAACATGAGCTAACTTGAGAAGGCAGCAATGGTCGAACGTAGCTAGTCACATTATTGTTGACCTGATGGGTTGAACAGATGGCTACATTGTAAACTCTGCCCTTCAGGGCGAGAATAATGTCGTGTCGGCGCCACAGGAGGCGGAGATTGGCAAAACACCTTGAGCTTTTTCTATACGGTTCGTGACCTCATCTTCAATACCAAGGGCGCCAATACAGCTGCCCAGGTACGACTTCTATATGATCAACACAAATGGTCAGCGTAGGGGTGGGTTTTTGCCAATCTTGGAGAAGGAAGTTGCATATCGAGGGAGCAATGCATAGCTCAAAACCATTGATAGCCAGTGCTAATCGGTCCAGTGCTGCTTGGCACATTTGAGCGCTGTCACATATGAGGGTAATGTCGTCGGCATACTCCAAGTCGAAAAGCCGTTCACCAGGAAGCAGCTCCACACCTTCTAGGTCATCTCCAGCGAAGGCCGTTTCATGACTTGGTCAATAGTGAAGTTAAAGAGGAAAGGGGACAGCGGATAAGCATATCCCATACTGCTGGAGATATTGTAAGGTGGGGAAAGTTTGCCATTAATCCTCACTCGGCACGAACTACGCACGTACAGCGCTCTGATAATGTTTTTGTTGTGCACACCTTTCTTCAGTAGACAGTTCCAAAGAGCATACCGATCGACCGGATCGAAGACATGTATGATGTCTAGGAACACGACTACGGTGGGTCGCCAACAGACATGACAGTATTACAAAAACTGAAGCCAAGTGAAGATGTGGTTGATGTAGCCTCGATTTCCACGAAAACCGACTTGCTCCTCGTGAATATGGCCTTCACGTGTGCCAGTCAGTCTGTGGAGAAGGAAAGACACAAGCAAGTTAGATAGAATTGAGATATGACTGAGCCCTCTATAATTGCCGCATTCCGAAGGAGAGCTTCCTTTGAAAATTAAGACTATAACGGAGCGGCCAGTCTGTTGGGACAGTCTCCTGCTACCACAGTTTCACTAGTAACTCGAGATCATCTACAAGAAGAGGACCCCGAATTTGAAGAAAACTGGTGGTTTCCAGATGCAAATGCGGCCTTATATATTTTCAAGAGTCTGATCACACGTTCGATTTCTGCGCGTGAGGGCTGATCCTAGGAGACGGCTCAGGGGGTAGGGCACTCCCTGGCCGATGGAGAAGAGGGCAATTCTAACTGATCAAACTGTTTCTTATAGTGTTCGGCCCGACACTCCGAGCGATTTGACAAGCTGTGGATCGGTTGTCCACTCTCGTCGCGTATGATCTTGTTAACACCACAATTCTTGCTGCCTGCTTCTCGTATCAGACGGAATAACTCGATGGTTACTAAGGACAGCGGAAGTCTCCATCTCTGACGTAAGATGAGACCACCAGGCTTCGCGGTCTCTCTTCAGAGTAGCACGCAGTTTCACCCTGAGATCTTTGCGAGTCTCGTTGTATTCACTTCCAGCCGGACATGTTGGCGAGCATCTAGTAGTTTTAGAGACAGGGTGGAGACCCAATGTTCCGATTAGCAAATTGATTTTCCACATGAGGACATGCCTGCTGCTAAGAATGTTTGGTGGATGTGCGACCAGTGATTTTCAGCTGTGTTCAATGAGTGTTTACTCAGGTCAGATGCCAGCGTACTTTAATACGCATCTAGAACATCAGGCTTCGCCAGCTTGCATGTATGTATGTACTCACAGTGCCGTTGTGGAACTCCTCCGAAACGCACCAGCAGGTCGGTGCAAAAAATTGCGCGGTCGGAGTCCATGTTTGTGCTCCGAATCGAGTGACAGTTTTGAACGCATCATCTCCAGCCATAACTGACTGCGAGTGGGTCGATTTGCATTCATGGCTGGCCAGAGGCTGGTGGGCGGCATGTCACCCTCCGACCGATGCTGTTTCGGAAATTAGTGCTCGCGAGAGAGACGAGCAACCACTCACCGTTATCAGTACAGGAGCCAACACAGTGTTGGACTCCAAGATGAAGCTCATTAGTGTTCAGTTTTCCAACTTTGTGTCAAATCTCCAGCAAACATCACATATGCGTACTTATTCGTAACAAAGAGGCGCGTTCAATTGGTGATAAAAGTCATCACACCGAGTCAGTGTTACAGTTTGTGGGTGCGCATGTCTCAATGACAAACAATGAGCATTTGTCCCATGCGACTTCGATGCTTTGAATGTGCCAGCCAATCTGACAGCACATTGGGATCCAGTCGATCAGGGCAGCAAAAGCCCGGGGACTAAGAACAATGTCCAAACCGTCTTGACAGATATTTGAAGCCGTGCTATCTCCGGACAAGCGCAATGAGAAAATATTGCCACCGTCGCACGCTGGGGGATCGCAGCATAATCACAGAACTTGAATCTTGCAGGTGAGTTTCTGATAAGCAGCAGATGTCGATTGGTAGTGTCTTCAGTGTTCAGGCAAGTGTTGTCTATTGGCAAATCTGTAACAGAATGCGCACATTGAGGCATCCCACTCCTGCGAAGAATCCAGGGATCCAAATAGAAACAGAGAAAGTGACGTCCGTTTGGCTGGACATGGACGTATCGACTGGAACAAAGCGACGCCCAGCGATTGAGTGAGTCCAAAATAGAAGCTAAACGGTTATCGAAGGGCCAAGAATTGAGGGGTTGAAAAAAAGGGGAATAAAAATGAAATTAGAACGGGACGAGAAAGATGAAAAAGCGCGAGAAAGGGAAGAGAAAGACGGGAAAGCTTGAGAAGTACCATCCAAACCTCCATCCACTCTGCTCGATGCAGCAGATAGGGCACCGTTGATTATCCTTTGCGACGACCAGAGCATCAGAAAATGGTTTGAGGAAAGATGCATAGTATTGCGTGGGTAGGATACTGTCAGGTTGCCAAGGCATAGACAGAAGCTAGGGCTCTTAAGCTAAGCCTATAATTCAAAAACCTGACCGAAAGGCAGCGGCTTTTTGGCAATAGGCTACATAGAGTTCGCCTTATGGAGTAAGGAACCACCCTGATTCCAACCTCTAAACTGGATGGCAAGGAAACTATGTTTGTCGGGCCTCTACCCATTAAGAAATCGGAAATGAATGGCTCTGAAGGTGCAAATGAATCACCCAGCACAACGGTGGGTTGGATAGACTAGCCTAATCTTTGGTATTCATGTGGTGCTTTACTCCATGTACCCAGCTGGATGGAGGATATGAGTGTAGCGTAATTTAGACCTTTTTCCTTGGGGACATCTACTCGGTTTTGTTTCCTAACAACCTCATTCCCATACCTGGCAATAAATTTGTTGGGATAGTCATTATAACTTGGAGGAAACGAGATACATTGTAATTCAATCTGGACTGACTCTTCCGATATTCCATTTTCGTTGATCTCGTACGAAACAAGTGCAAACTAGGGATGGTCCGCAGTTCAAAGGACAGTAACTGTTTAAATGTAGGTACCGTTCAGTTCAGCTCGGTTTTCGGCAAACTAATCTTATGAATGAACTATCTGTCCTTTTCTTTGCAACGTCAAGGAAAGGTAACGAATTCCCTGACTCACTTTTCATGGTGGACTTGATTGCCAGAGCGCAGCTGTTTAACTTTTCCAAAAGAGTATTCCCGTGTTGAACGGTGTCACCTAATACAAAAGTGTCGTCATTGTACCTTGCGTGCAAGTGTGTCGCTTCAATGGCATGAAGTAAGTTGCTATTCTCCAGATGACCCTTATAGAAGTCGGCTAAAATCGGTCCAAAAGGGCTACTCATCGCTACTCTCTCGAGTCGACGATAGAAATTTCCATCAAAGCAAATTCGACTAGGCCAGTTATCAACGAAGGAAGATTTTGTTGAATTGCATTAATTTAGATGATAAATTGAATGACAGTAGGAAGCAGAGCAAATACGTAACGAACTCACACCAACTGGAAGATCCATAAACGAAGGCCACTGATCGCTTGTGTACATCGTACACGCAGGCTGAGTGACTGATACTTGTGTGCTCGGAGATATGGTGAGACTCGGAGTTGGTGCTATCCCACCAGCTTCGCTGCCACACATTCTGTCAGTGCTTTGCAAAGTCGACGTAAAATGTCGACTTGAGAGGGCAAGTACTGGGTCCCTCTGCATTAGTGACCGGGACCTCGGAAAAGAACGCGTTAGCCGGTTACGCGAAATCTTTTCATGACGTTCACGTTTGGCTTTTTCGTCTAAAACAATAGGAATCAGAAAACGGTGAATAATTTGGCGAAACAACATAAGCAACAGGTCCTCGAGTCACAACTCACCCAGAATTAGGCACGTTTTCATGCCGACACTGAAACACTTCTTTAATCTGCAATGGGAGCAGAATCGACGCGTCGTAACCCCGATTACGCATTCTTCATTGAACAAACAAACGCTGGGCTGCAATAGTGAGTGTGAAGCGAAAGTGCGATGAGATATTCAAGTTGCATTTCAAATACAATCAAGATCAACACGTTTAATCTTCCATCAATTTAAGGTAACCTCGATCGAAGCATTCAATGGTGATAACAACCGCAAAAAGTGAAGATGGGAAATGTCATAAATATAAAAAAGAAAAATTTGCTCTCACCTCGAGACCCCAGCCAAGCTCATTGCCGAAGAAGGTAAGCCAGCGAAGAGCACGGTAATTTTCCGCTGGAATCGCAAAGTTGCTCTTCCTGGCTGAATATTACGTCTGGCACAACCGATGGTAACTGCTTGCTGAGCTATCGAACTTTGAAGTATTTGGCAAAAGGCATCAGCAGAGCACGCCGTACCGATGCTTCACTGCTAAGCAACTACCACCAGTCGCACGTGGGCCGAGAATACTGCGAGGGTCGTCCGGTCCCCTATGCAGGCTCGAACTCGCGACCTCCAGGTTAAAAGGCAGGCTTGTGATCCTCAAGGACACGAGTCAGAAACCGTCTGATATTCGATCCAGCTCACACCGGTGAGAGTTGTAACAACTAACTTTGCTACACTTTTAAGACTACCAATAAACCACTCGCGCAGCTCATCCCTTCGCTTACTGATGATAAGCTCCGCAGTATACTTAGACCTCAGTGACAAAAACATCGTATTTCTTCTGACGAATTGTCACAGTATGTTACACTTGATAAAACTCGGTTTTGATATTTTCATATTAGTTCCGAAACATGTTTTCTAAACCTATCTCAGCACAATCGAGGAATGCTGTTGTTGCCCCCACCGTTACAAATAAGATAAGAGTCGACAGCAATGAAAAAACTCTGACTGTTGAACGGTTACACGAAACCGGCGTGGACATGGTACCATGGTCTCGGCCATGAATGGAGTTCCGAATTTACTGGTGCTCTTGAAGCCGCAGCGCATTTGTGGCAACTATTAACCATTTCTTACAGTTGTCTGTCCATGAATGGCCAGTACACACAATTGTGGGTAAGCGCTTTCATCCGGTCGACCCCAGGATGTCCTGCCTAAGTATGAGCTTTTGTAGTGTTATGGGGATGATAACTTGTTTCGAGAACAAAATGCAGCCCTCCACGATGGAGATTGCATGCCTCCTTTGATAGTACTGCTGAAATTCGACCGATGAACATGTGCATGGCCAACTCGTCCTGTTGAATTGCGCGACCACCTTGAGTACAGGGATATGAAGCGTTTCTGCGCGTACAGCTTCTACAGTCACTGGTAGGTCACGTAATGAGTCTCATATAAGAAATCTGACATTTGCTGCAAGCTCAACTGCGGCTATGTTCTTGTCCTCTTCGTCTCGCTGATGGAGTCTGTGAGATGTGACACTGCGTCCACTTGGCCCATGGAAACGGGTGACGCAGGTGAAAAATAATAGACAGCATGTCAAGTAATGATTGCATGCTGAGTGACGGTAAAGGGATGGATGGTGGATGGTGGAAAAATGTGAACAAATGGAGGGGAATACGAGTTTTCAAACTGTAAGTGATATCCCCTGTGACGTAGTGTCATAGGCACAAGGAAATGGTCAAGACAACCAATCGTCCCGTGCAACACGAAAAGGGCACTGAAGTTGTAGTGTGATCAGATCACTTCGATCAGAGTGCCGCATAAGAATCATGGGTGGACAACGATGGATGGAAAGCAAAGTGCTACAGTATGGTTAGCAACAGAAGAATTAAGCGGGGCAACATCAATGAATAAGTTAACCTCAAGAGGAAAAGTCGAAGTCGAAATCATGGCGGCAGCAGCTGCATTCCAAATACAGTAGAGGTTAATGCAGACTATTCTATTGCCCAGTGCAAAAGGCAAGTATAGTTATCTTGCGCAAGAGAAAGCCAACTGAATTAGATTGTGCAGAATATATCGTATCATGACTGAGCGGATGCAGAAAGGAACAATATGCTAAGGATGAACTCCATGGGAGTGGTTTCATCTACATATTACATTGCTAACCAGCAAAATGTTAACTATTGATACAGGACAGCTGGCCTATTGCTTGGTCCGTGATGCAAGGAAACAAATGCTTCAAATTTTAGGTAGTTGATAAACCCAGCCATCCTAGTACTTAGTAGTCAGGGACGGGCTACTCATCACATGTCGCAAAAACTAGTATTACCTTTAAAAATAGGCAACATGTTTAACGCCGGGGGGTAATTTTCGTTGGTTTGAAAGACTGAGTATATATGACTCAAGTAAAGGCCAGTAGTGAAACCTGACAGTCGCGACTGTGGGCTCGCGAAAGCCTTCAGATCTCTGACCATCGATGGCTGTTGGGCGGTGCACTTGTTGACTGGTACCAGTATGTTCCCAATGCTGAAGTATATGTGAAACCATTAATCGGTAATGATCATATTAGTTTTTTAGATCAGTGAGACTGAATAAGTCGCATTGCTTCGAGTAGAAGTATTAATAAGTTACGTATAAGCTGTACGCCGTAACGGCGCTTCGGTATTGTGCAACCAGCATCAGTCGCATGTGGGCTGAGGGTACCAAGAGGACGCCCACCCCTACGCAGATTCGAGTCCGAGCAGAAGCTACTTATGTTCGCTTTCCGCTACAGTTCAGTTCCGTACATCAATTAAGAATCGTGCACTGCACTGTACGGGATCCATTTGCTTTAAATCACGCCACCGAAGTAATGGCACTAGTAGCACTAATGAATCATCACGAGGAATCCAGCAGCGCAAAGTCGTCAAATGGAGTGGTTATGGATAGCTAAAAGCCTCGATAAATTGGAACTGCGCCCTATCTGCAACCCTATCTAACCGCTGATATGGCAGGTCTCGAAGCTTAGGAAAACGATAAGCAACAGCTCTCTGCCGGTAGGTTGTTCCATGTTCTACTACATGTCATTGACTGCCGATCTCAGGACACAGGAGTCAACCAATATCGGTAAACAGGATATGCCGAGGTTGTCTGCTTGACGTGTGCGAGTCAATGACCCTGTCAATGTATGGAGTTCGAACTCAACAGGCAGTAAAGTGCTGCGCATCAGAGGGCCTGTTCCCAAGCACCAAATGACACAACTTGGCGCCAGTAATTCAGTGCTTCCACTTCGAATGAGTAGTGCACTTCGCAGATATCGGTGGTCAAACGTTACAGGGGCTCTCTGATCCATGGATTAAAACTGAACAAACAACAGTATTGTAAGTTCCCCACCCACACAACCAAAAGTTTGTATCCCATCCTGAGGATCCGTAAAGGTACACCAGCCTTACCAACACGTGGTACTCTCGTCGGTGAATTGACTACCGGGAAACACTCGACTGTCAGGGAACGAATTCAGTTCAGTCGGAATCGCGCTTACAAAGGTAGATCACAACATAAGTAGGCCTGTCACAACCTCGAATGGACGCAAAGTGGAAAATTCGACTGACCATGATGATAAAGGAGTGCTAATCAGTGGACGAAAGTGAAACGAAATCTTTACTACTGCATGGACAATGTAGAGGATAAATTGATGCCGTCTATATCAAAACAGTCCTGCTTCTTCAAGTCCCCAAAACATCGCGAGTTAAACAAATGAATTGTCAAATTACTCTAGTAGCACATATCCATTAAAATAAAACCAATAAAATTGAGTAGTACTACCTCCATCGAAGAAAAGTGATCTTAGTTATATTATCCAGGAAAATAAAAAATTAGGTTGCAACTGATTGACATTTTGCCATGGTGAAACAGGTAGCAACTCAGATCAATGGTAAATGGTTACAGGGGGTACTTTGGCGCGAGATGTGAGCATACTGACGTTGGAAATTAGGCAGACATTGACATTTCAAGTAATCAGGCGGTCCAGAGCAAAAGCAAAGATAAATCGCTACATAAACCACTTAAAGCCGACTTAAATCCAAGTTGGGATCAGAACAGAAGTCACAAGGCTTAAACAGAGTGTGAAGCTGGAAAATGAGGACGCATAGCTGAGCTGTTTCTCACCACTATCCTAAGAGAGAAGCAATGATAATGAGGACGCACCCAAGTTGAGACAACAGTTTTATGCTTAAAACACAGCACAGAGATGGGCTCAGATGGGATCAGTGTCGCATCAGTTGTGACAGCGGCAACACTGATAAGGAAAAAGAACAATGAAATCTGTGGTCACGAACCTTGTTCTTACGAGCGGTCCGTCTGAAAAATGCTTTGCACGACTCGCAAGCCACGGCACCGAAGTTATAGCCCATAGCCATATCTCCACATACACTACACTGCTTATTACGCTTCCTCTGTTCCATCTCAGGTCGCCAATTGAAATCAAAGAGACAAACACTTGAACTTCATGTGACAGTTTCTGGAAAAAAGGCAATACCATTTTAGTTAGTGACAGGTGAAAAGAAAGGCCAGACCGGAGGACGGTATCAATCAAGACAACCAAAGCATAAGCCAAGGTTGGTGGTGAAAAAATAACATGCAGGGCAAAGACAAAATAAAGCCATCGATATGAGACAGGTGCTAAAACAGTGTATTATCCTGACTATAGATACGTTCTCGATTTGCAATAGTGTGTTCCACATTTCTCCATCCTCTTTGACATATTTGCTCGGAATGGTGTTTGCACCAAATACGTTAACATTTTAGGTGCCTTGTGCTCGAGCACCACAAGCCGCGGTAGGGTCTGCGGAGACTTAGCACACGTCTTCATGACAACAAACAGTGTTTGATAGGGTTGCCTCATTTCCCCAGTTTTGTTCAATTTTATAGTGGACCCCACCATGAAATGTTCTCTTGCTGCATCTCACAGTTCGGGCGCTTAAATGCTGCCTGCTGGAAAATTGGTTGACCTAGCATATGGGAGTGAGATAGTCGTGCTGTTTGTGACAATCCTAAGACAGCATAGACAACCCTAGAAAAACTCTGGGCTTGTTCAACCATTTGGCATGCACTTCCTACCATCAGGCCACAAAGCCATATGGCGGAGAATTAGAAGTAATTGACCTGCTCACTAAGCTTAGTAGCTGCAGTGATAGCGATGAGCTTCTGAGAGTGGAAGTTAGTTCACGTACCGAAAAAGGCAGAAAAGTATTCGTGAATCCGCGAAATCTGATTCTCCAAGCTCTGAATTGGAGTAAGGGTGATTCCTTAATACGCAAAACGGACTCCATGTATCAAATTAGCAAGCACCTCTTGCCTTACCGGTCAGGTGTTTGAACCAATCATTTCGACTGGGAAGGCTAATCATTCACCTGCATAGGCCAAGGTAAGCTGACAGCATCCAGTAAAAGTAAAAAGATGAAAAGCGCAAGCAATGTCTTAATGCCCGACCGTCGGCGCGTTTGCTGCGTCAAACAGGGTAGATGGAGGTGAGGATGATACTGCTCAAATCCACCAGACTTCTTATCCCCCTTCCAACTTCACTTTTATGTATCCTGTTTTCAACTCCCTAGTTCTCGGTCCTCCCCACTTCCTTCGCTAGGCGCTTGTTTTCTAGATTCATCTAACATGTAATCGTGGATCTGTGAACAACCTTATATCCAAAAAGTGGACAAAACAATGCGCCCGTTTCTATTTGCAGTCTCAGATCCTCCCTGAGAATGACATGCCTCAACGTAAGCACCTTGATACAGACCGGTCAACAGGCGGTACTTGTCCGAACATTCATTATCTTTTAACGTATTCATCCAAGAAGACGCGCCAATAGTGTCGACTGCGAGCCATGTCCTGCAAAGTCTTGAGCCAAGCACAAGGTGTCAAGTGAACTGAAGCCTGGAAGGTGAGACGAACCGAGGGCACTCCTAGTCAAGAAGTCTATCACATGGGAGCAGCTCCACGCCAAAATCACGTTCAACGAATGCAGGTTTCATGAGTTCATCAATAACGAAGTTAAAAATGAGAGTACCCCTGCTGGAGATATTAAAGAGTGATGACGGTTTGTCGTAAGATCTAACTACCCGAATTATGCACATACAGAGCTTTTACGACATCTAGATATTTCTCTGACATACCTTTCCTGAACAGAATGTCTCAAAATGCACACCGACCCAACGAATGAAAGTATCTTTGATTTTGAAGAACACGACTACGGTGGGTCACCAATATATACGGCGGTATTCCAACAACTGTGGCAGTCAATACACCCTCGACTTCAATGAAACCCGACCTGCTCTTTGCGAACCTGGCTTTCACGAGTGCCAGTCAGACTATGGTGGATGACGGAGGTAAGTGACGTACAGGCAACTGTGATCAGACAACCTCATCTATGATAGCCCAATTCCGAACGCTAGCCCCTCTTGAAAATTGGGACTATGACGGAACGGCTCTAATCTTCTAGGACAGTCTCCTGCGCCCACAGTTTCACTAGTAAATTGTGCAAATCATCCAAAAGATCAAGTCCCCCGAATCTGAAAAGGGCCAAAGTGGCTCTGCGGTCCTGATCAATTTCGACAATTCGAGGCAATCGCGCGCCATGTCACTCATCTGCGGGTGCTGTGTCGGAAGTTAGTTCACGCGAAAAGAGAAGAGCATCCTCACAGTGAATCAACCGCTTACCGTTATCATTATCATCATATCATCATCATCCGTGTTCCCCCACACAAATTAAGTACATGAATGAATAATATTCCAACTTGCGCGTTAGGATCAACAGTAAGTACAATAGTATTCAAACTTTTCTTGTGACGAAGGAGCGCGTTTAGTTGGTGATAGAAGTCACCTTCCACCGAGTCCACTATACACTTTGTGGAGGCGTAGGCAGCAATGACAAACAGGTACCGCTTGTCGACGTGTGACAGAAGCTTGGAACGAGCCAGCGCATATTCGGCTGTTGGATCGTATTCACTCGAGCAGGGTAGCTTTCAGTCTGGGGGCTCAGAGCAATGCCCACATCGGCTTGACTTGCATTTGAAGCTGCGTCAATTCCGTAAAAGCGCAATGAGGAAATACCGAAGGTACTGCATGTGCGCGATCATACACTAATTAGAGAGCTCGAAACTTGCAAGCAGATCTCCGATAAACAGTAGATACAGATCGATCGGATGTGTGGGCAAGCGCTGCCTGATGGCCAATATGTACAAGGTGCGAACGTTGAGGCATGCCAGGCCTAGCGAGGAACGAGACATCTAAATACAAACAGTTGAACTGACGTGATTGTTACCGTGGCCCGTCCATAGCAGCCATCGAAGCTAGCTCTGTCTGGAGCAGCCCGGAGAAGATTGGTGCTATGCCGCCTGTAGCCGATTGGCTAGCCAATGAGAGTAAAGCAATGATATCGTTTTACCTTGAACTGGACCAATCAGAATGACCTTCATTGAAGCCTCCAGAAAGCACACTACTTGATCAGCCAACAAGGGATTTTGCGCATCTAGTAGTTGCTATAGTCAGGAACTTTCACTTAGATCTTTCTCTCATAAACTATTTATGTTGACTACATATTATGCCTGCACATTTCTGTCTCCCGAGTGCTCCATACAAGTTCCGCCACAGGCCTTTGTCTTCTGATTTGGAAGGTGGCTGTATCGTGACTAGAGTGGCTGCAATGGTTATCCGTACTAGCAGCGGAAACACAACAGTCATCTGTTTGGTTGGACAAGAACTTGTCGACTGAACGGGAATGATGCCTTGCATTGCGTATAGGTTGAAACCGAAAGACAGGCAACTATCGAAGCAAGATAGAGGGCGTAAAATTGGACGGTTGAAAACAAGATAAAAGTGAGGTTGGAAAAAGACCATATGATGAAAAAGCGCGAGAAGGGTAATAAAAGACGGGAGGGTCCGAGCAGTAGTATCTAAACCTTTATTCACCCCGCCTAATGCATCATATAGGGCGCTGTTGATTATCTCTTTTGACAGCTAGCGCATCAGGTAATTGTTTGGAGGCAGCCATTGTATCGTATTATGTGGGCGAGATACTGTCAGACTGCCGATGGGGAGTTAGGTACGTGCATCTTATGGAAGCGAACGTTCCTTAGATGACTTGGTTACTCTGTTGTACACCATTAGCTCAAATTGTTTTCCCACGGAATTATCGTGTTTTCCTGGGAGATTTTACTTTTCCGGTCAGCCCATGCCTAGACAGAAGAATGCTTAGCGTTCTCAACCAAAGCCTTTGGTTTTAAAACCTGATTGCAGGACAGCGAATTTGGCAGTGGGCTACAGAGAGCCCGTTTTATGGAGTAATGAGCCACTCTCACTCCAACCTTCAACCTGAAGGTCCAGGAGATTGAGTACGTCAGACTTCTAACCACTAACTAATGTGATTACAGTGGTTTTGAAGGGGCAGAAATACCACAAAGTACGCAAACCATCGCACTGCGCTAAGGTCTAGTTTCATTGCGATGGATTCACATGGACAATTTCCCACATTATGTGGTCCAATCTTAGACTTGGTGGGTTTCCCCGGCATTTGTTGGCCCACTGGATAGTAGAGAAGCTGTAGTCGTTACAGAATATAATTTGCACCGACTGCGTGATAGATGCGCGTAAAGGTCAATCAAAGCACATCTGCCCCTGTGCCAATGGCAAGTGGGGTTCCAAAAGGATCCATACTTGGACCAGAACTTTCAATCTGTACATAAATGACCTCCAATTTGCACACCAAACCGACTGCTTGGTCTAGGCTGATGATCTCAAGCTCTGATCAACAGTATCCAGTCTATACAATGCCGACAAATTACAAGAGGCTCTAGATAAGTTGCACGAGTGGTCTACCAAGTGGCGATTACCAGTAAATCGTGATAAATGCGCGGTTCCCCCAATCGGTGGCACTGACACATACAGCACATACCACACTAGTGGATTTCTCGAGAACACCAATAAAGAAAAGGACCTCAGTGTCATTGTATCCTCGGATGTTAGGAAGTCCTAGGACACACTGAAAAAGATCGCAGTCGCAGAGACTTCTAGACGCTGAGAAAATCGTTCTCCCGAATGACTCGTGAGATATTCCGACCTCTACTTACCGCATGCGTGCGTCTCATACTAAGAAATGGGCAGCTAGTTATCTTTCCTCTCTTTAAGTTTGATTGCTCTTTGACATATTACGTTCAAAGAAGTACCTCAAAAGCTGTCTTCGGGCTCAGCGACCTTTTTTACCTTCTCCGACTTCACCAGCTGAACATGTTTTTCACCGTCGTCGCTACGATCTCATCAACACAACACGCATCCTTCTTGGTGAAATTGGAAACGAGGTACTACAGTTCCTTTATCCCAACGCCAACAACTGGAGACTAGGTCACAAATGGAAGCTGTTCAAGTTCAAGTGGGACCGGAACAGTAGGAAAATCCCGTGATGGTTCCACCTAGTAAAGCGTCGTTAGTCGCAAAGTAAAATCTATAAGGCGATCTGAAAGGAGCCAAATCAACATACACGGTACACTCTATGGTTAACCAAACAATGTTCAAAACACGAAGGCTACACGTTCGCTCAGACCTCACCCTGTCCACCCAGGTAGTGAATGAGTGGAACAGTTTACCTAAGGAAATTGTTGACGCATCTTCAAATGAATGTTTCAAGAGGCTTTTAGACAAACACTTAATAAAAACGCTGGGATCGTGTTGCTCCAACTGCAACTGAAACGAGCCATAGAGGAACGTCGTCACACCACGACAAGCAGCTATCCCACAATGAATGGGAATGGACGGAGCTGACAAGGGTTCTCCTCTCTGCTCACTACAACCCAATGAACCAGTGAAACCCACATAACGATTTCAAAAACAGCGAAAAACAAGAGATAAAAACGAAACCGAGGAGCTGCTACCCGCGGGGAAATCAACAGAAACAGTGACGAGTTAAACGGGGTGAAAACGAATTAAAAAACACAAATAACAATTAATAGCCAAAGGCCAACCGCGCATCCGAGAGCGAGTGCGTCCTAGTCCGTGAAATATTGTGAACCAAAATTATTTGGATCAAACGCAAGCCGACGAAGTCAAATGTTATACATGATACATGGAGCACAGTTCCTAACATGTTCTTTGAAAGCAAAACGCAAAGAGACAGCACGAGAGCGTCTAATAAATCGTAAACAGTTGTAGTGCACAAAGGTTACAGTGCGAATGAGGGTAGGTCCAATGGCTGAAAAGAGAAAGCGAAGTTCATCCTCAAGTGTAATTACGGCACAGGTAACCCAACCTCCCCCCCATTGGGAACGGGAACGCAGGTTGCGTGGGGAAAGTATATTCGCAGAACACAAGTGCGCCAGTCCAGTACATGTGATATAATAAAAAGAGGACAGTGATAGTTAAAACAGGAAAGAAAACTAGTTACCATTACATCACTCTCTCTCAACGGACAGGCGTCATGCGCGACGCCCGTACAATGTTCTACCGATATCCCATCCAGACTACTTGAACGTACGTTTGGTAGGGAACATATCAGAGCAGTTCCCTTGGAACTAATAATAACAAATAATAATAATGTGTCAGCTGTACGCCCTAACGGCGCTTCGCTGCCGCGCGACCACCACCAGTCGCGCGCGGGCTGAGTATACCGCGAGGACGCCTACGCCTACGCGGATTCGAGCCGGTGACCTTATGGTTGCAAAGCAAACGTGCAGACCACTCGGCCACCGGCCGACCTTGGAACTCGTTGTTAACCGTATTGCGCTGAGGAAACATCTTGAAGTATTAATAGTTGGAAGAGAGCTAACAATGTGACAGCAGATACGAGTAAACTGAGGGTATGGATAACTTGCAGTAACATTTTTCAGAAGCTAACTTGACATCGCAAGAGTTCATTTCAGGCCCAGTGCGTACAACGTGGGAAACAAGAGTGGATGGAGTCGACGGAGCACCGTGGCCCACGGCTTGAAGCAGAGCAACACGACAGGAATCCAGGGTGAGTCCTCAGGTGCAACAGAATGTCACATTTGACGAAGTCACTGTATCCTGAACGCAGGCCACTTGAGTGTTGGTTCGCTGCGTGGGCACAGGAGAACAACGAAGGGTGATAAGCGAATAATCTTGTTGTTCTTGTAGTGGAACAGTGCAATCGGGAGTAACCGAAACACAAGCAACACACGGAGAAGGCTGGGAGCACATTTCAGTAGCATCTATGGGACAACAAAGGGCGAATTGGGGTCCAGACAGGGTTGTGAAAGTAGGTGAAAGTTCGCCAGTATTCAAAGTAGACTAGGTTGCTTTGGCGCCAGCGGGGGTGTCGTAGCACAACCCGCTAGAAGGCGGAAACTACTCGGTGGCGTATTGTTGTACCTAAAGTCCGGCGTACGAGGAGGACTCATTGCCACGCATCACAGTGCAGACGGTTTGTGCGAACAACTTTGGTGCAGGGTAGAGGCTGGGCCGAATGTAGTGAATGTGGAGGCCATATATAGGAGCCCGGAAAACGCTTCTCGCGATTGGATCGATGTTGTGCAGCAGCATTTGAACTGCCGGAATTTTCTGTTGTTGGGTGATTTGAACTTTCCGCATGTTGACTGGCTACAGTATAGAACATTGCCTGGGAGTAGCGTCCTCGAATCCAAATTTGTTGATAAGATGACGGAAATGAATGACGTACAACACATCCACGGGACAAGACAGCTTCCAAGGAAACCTGCAAATTGTTTTGATCTTTTTAAGAACTGTGAGCAGCAATTCGAATCCATTAATTAAACTAATTAAACCCATTGGGTCCAATGACCACTCCACAATTTCAGCTATCCTACGTTTACCCTCTGTAGAATCCTCATAAATATCACGCCGTAACATCTGGAAGACAAACTGGGATCGCTTACACAGCATTGCGGAACACGTGAATTGGTCTCTACCGTGAAATGATGGCACAGAAGCGGGTTGGGAGGTGCTGAAACGAAATTACGTTCAGTTATCAGATCAGTTCACCCCTTTAACACGTTATATCTCGGAGAAGGCCGCCCTGGATTGATAGGGAATACTGTGCTGTCAAGACGACGTGGAAAGTTGTGAAAACGCTTCAAGTAAAAACAAGTTGCGCTGAAGACTATACGGCTTATAAAACACATCAAAGACGCTGCAACTCCGTAAAACTACAAAACCGTGAAGCTTACGAATCAGGTCTACCAGCAAAAAGATAAATAATAAATAATGTGTCAGCTGTACGCCGTAACGGCGCTTCGTTGCCGCGCGACCACCACCAGTCGCGCGCGGGCTGAGTATACCGCGAGGACGCCCATCCCTACCCTGGAACTACGAGAGAAGTACCTAAGAAGATTTTTGCATGCATCAAACGTAGGCTTAAACCAACTGATGAATTACCTGCTTTGGAAAATTCACTTGGTGAATTGTTGACCTCCGAGGCGGACCGAGTTATGGCACTTGAATCACAGTTTAAATCAGTGTTCGATCCAGATGCTCCCGCATTCGAGTATAAGCAAAACGACGCTAAGCTGGATACCATATCGTGTTCTGAAGATGAAGTTATGAGCTGGCTAAGTGGTCTAG